AAATGACTAGCTGACCCGGCAAACTTCGTAGTGCCTTAATCGATAAATAAAAGACCTAAGCGTTTGTATAAAATAAACTTAGAACAAACAAAAGGAATCCGTCCGACGGGGGACACATCAAAGGAAAAACAAAATTGTTATTTTTATTTAATTCCGAGCATTTTCATATTTATCTACCTTTTAAACCTTCTCTGGACTTCCACAAATAATTCAAGACCAAAATTAGCCAAATCGGTCCAGCCGTTCTCGTGCTTTAGTGAGAGTAAAGAACAGCAATTCATTTTTATATATATAGATAACACGAAAGTAACACATATTATTGTGCAACACATTTTATGTAAAAAATAGGCAAAGACAAAACAGTTACGAGTGAGGACCAATTTAATCTCTTTTTGTCAAACTTTTTTAATATTAAAATCAACCAAAGCGCACTGTGGTTATATGTTCGACGCGATATAATATCTACCTATTCCGCAAATTCCGTGAGTACTTATTATTGGGTGGTTTTTAATGTTTTCTCGAATCTTCAAAAACACCAAGAAACGGAATATGCAGTTGGTTATGCACTCGACTTTTCCATAGTACTCGTGGCTTGGAAAAATCAGTCTGAGGGTATTGTACAGCCTGCGTGAATATCCACGCCTGGCTGGCAAAAATCAACCTTATGTCAACCAGTAATTCGTATCTGCGGAAGGTGATGCGCTTTTCAAAAAATATTTCAAAGCTGACCCTTACTACTGACGGTCGCCTCGTCTATTGGTACAGATGGGAGCGGGACAAAGCCTAATCGATAATCATGCATACATACATAATTGATAAAGAAATGTTTTCATCTGACAAACGATTTGACTAGCATTGTGTGTAAGCAATAAATTTATAAGACAACAACTTTAATAAAAATAAAAAATTCGATGTCATCATAACATTCAGAATTTCCAGCGTATTAACAGTCAACAAAATATCAACGCACGCAATCGAAAACAATTACTGTCTCGTAACGAAGCCAAAGTGTGAAGGCGACGACGAATTATTACAAAATCACATCAAGCGATCGTAGGTCACTCGGGGCTTACAAACGTGACGAGCATTCATTCGCTTCGGCCACCTATACACTCAGACAGACCACAATAAGACCCTTGCTGTGCACATATATGAATGCTAATTAGTTATCTTTCGTCTATTTTAAAACTGCAGAATATTGACACTGTAATGGCTCCCCTAGTCCTACCAACTTCTATTGAGGGATGCGATAAAAACTCGATATCGTGTAAGTCAAATGTAGCCCGTGATAGTCCTTATGTTGGATTCATATCCTAACCGCAACAGTAAGAAACTAGAGTCGACAGGCTGACTCGAATATAGCAGCGGTATGTGTGCTAGGTCGCCCGATAGCAGATTGTCAGATATGCCATGATCACGTAGGATAGATATGGAGTAATTAGCGTAAGCTAGCGCCCCCTTGTCTACCTGGCTTTGTCGATGATAGATAGAGCTGATAGAGCGCTTGTGCGACGGCGGGCCCTAGCATAATCAGAGAATGATCTGACGCAATTTTTTAAGCCAAAATTAAGCGTATAATAGCTAGGGGGTATCTCACGCAAATGTCCCATATGGCCACTAGCTGAGAGTCTTTAAGAGCAATAGAAATAAATAAATCACAAGCTTTGGGCCGCAACATTCTCTCCATTCTGATCGTGGCTTTAGCTCGAGTGTATTTATTCGTAGCTCTCTTTCAAGAGGTTGCAGACTATAATTATTATAACTCATATAACATTCAAATTCATAAATGATGCGTTACGGTAAAAACGTTATTAAAGAAATTTCTAATTTTATTTCTCAGACAATTTAGTCAAAGTTATTTCTGTCCCGTAAATTGTCAAATGAGTTCCGCTTAGCGACACCTATAGTTATTGTTCAGTTAGGTATGCATATTAAGAACACAAGCAACGGAACAGTAATTTTGTTACACGTTATCGTAGACAACATATTGTGTCCGAAAAAAGAAACTATTAGGTACATGTATAATAAGGCTTAATGTGGGGTGCATAGGAAATGAATTCACTTATTATTTAAGTATTAAGTGATTGTTTTTAATGGCGCAAAATTGTAGGGATACACGATGTGAAACTCATAAAGATAAAGTTAATTTTAGGTTACTAGACAAACAATTTGTGTACAAAAATTCAATACACATATATTTTTCTATTATCTAAAATAGGCAGATCAGCTTACGGTCGGCTGAAACACGTGGATCATCTCTCACATGTTTTTAGGCCTACATTAAATATACAACTTTTAGATTCTTTTTTTTTGCTTAAATGGGTGGACGAGCTCACAGCCCACCTGGTGTTAAGTGGTTACTGGAGCCCATAGATATCTACAACGTAAATGCGCCACCCAGCTTGAGATATAAGTTCTAAGGTCTCAATATAGCTACAACGGCTGCCCCGCCCTTCAAACCGAAACGCATTACTGCTTCACGGCAGAAATGTGGTGGTACCTACACGTGCGGACTCACACGAGGTCCTGTAGTATTTTAGCAGTCTAAAAGCCTCTCTCTTTCTCTTCGATCGGTCCCTCACTGCTGAGGATCGTGACTCCGTCCGATTCCATCAACCAGCTGTCTCCATCGATCCCGTTTTGTAGCTTGGTGGAGTGCATCGCTGACAGGTACCCCCAGTTCCACCGCTATTTGGTCCGATCATCGTTTGGGACCTCTACCCTTAGGCCTAAAAGCCTACAGCTTATTATTCTTTTTATTTAGACGTGGCTTAAGATTCCTTAATGACTGAATCGTTCTTGTCAGTAGTATACGAGTACATCGGCCAAACGGCCGTCTGGCGTAGTGGTAAGTGACATGGTCACTACACAAGGGGGTCGCGGGTTCGAATCCCGCCAAGGGAGGATATTTCTATGATAATAATAAATGTCTTTTCCAGGGTTATGGATGTATATTAAATATGTGTATGTGTATAATAAACATCTTATATTTATTTTCGTTATCTGGTACCTGTAACACAAGTTCTTTACGAACTTATCACGGGACCAGTTAACGTGGCGTGACTGTTAGTAAACATTTATTTATTTATTTATTTATCTCGGAATTGTGTTGGGCGTCACGGAGCGTAGTACAATTTGTTAAAAATAAATTTCATTGCAATTACGACGCCATTAAGAATGTTGCATGATTTTAACCCTCGTATTGCGTAATATATTCGTTCGTTTGCGATGGGGGACCTTTACAAGGGGGAGAAAAAAGTTGAACACATCCGACGTGTTTTATGACAAAATGGTAGAAAATCGAAACTCTATTCTGCAGTTCGAATTTATTTTATAGTATTCTCAGAGTATCCATTTTTATATAGAACTAGCTGACCCGGTAGACTTCGTAGTGCCTCAATCAATAAATAAAAGACCTAAACTTTTGTATAAAATAAACTTAAAACAAACAAAAGGAATCCGTCCGACGGAGGACACATCAAGGAATAAACAAAATTGTTATTTTTATCTATATCTATACTAATATTATAAAGAGGAAAGATTTGTTTGTTTGTTTGTTTCGAATAGGCTCCGAAACTACTGGACCGATTTGAAAAATTATTTTTCCATTAGAAGCCGACATTGTCCCTGATGAACATAGGCTACTTTTTGTAAAAAAAATTTTATTTAATTTTTTTGGTTTCGTGTGTGTTTTAATGTTTCCGAAGCGAAGCGAGGGCGGGTCGCTAGTTTATAATAATTTCGAGCATTCATATTTATCTACCTTTTAAACCTACTCTAGACTTCCACAAATAATTCAAGACCAAAATTAGCCAATCGGTCCAGCCGTTCTCGAGTTTTAGCGAGACTAACGAACAGCAATTCATTTATATATAGATATAGATTACCGTTTTGGTTATCTAAAAAAATAAATTATATTTTAATTAATAAAATCACAAAACGTCAGTTGTAAAATATTCATAAAACTCAATATATCAATATCTCTAATAACACTAATTTACAATTCCGAATGCTGTGGTAGATACAATTATTGCTTACAAAACTGTTTTCTAAATTTTATAAGACCACAGTGGCGATTGACCCGCGTCGACAATTTCCATTTTCATTTCAAAACTAAATAAAATTAAAGAATAAACAAGCCTGACACCAAACGTAAAATATCATTACCGAGGTCGATCCCGTGTAGGGTCTAGTAATCCCAAAGCGCACTTTAGCGGGCATAACAAATGATTGCCACCGCCGGACGGTCAACGGGCGCTTTACGAGGCGCTTCCCAGCGCTGATGATGATTTAGATGCAAGGAATATCGGCCGGAAGCCACGATAAACCGCGGGGACCCGTTTCCATGGCAACGGCCGTAGTAGCAGCGACGCCCTTGCGACACTAGTTCACGGGCACTTATCGTTATCGCAATAAATTTGTCTGGAATTCGCGCAATAACTTTCAAGGAAAACGCAATAAAAATGCTGATAGCCGTATTTCGTTATGATAGCCGAAATTGATGAATAACGCATTTTCATAATCTTCCCCGGCATGGGCTTGCGTTTGATACATTCATGTATGAGGGCGTAATGTGTGTTCTGTTTCAGCTTTATTTGTGGTTTATTCAGATGAACATTTTTATTCGAGAAGCGATAAAGCAGTATTTGCTAAAAAAAATCGATTACATTCTTTCGGCAGTTTTTTGTTTTACTTTTCCATGATCGTCTTTCATTTTAACAGAGCTCACGAGATGCAGTTGCACATAAATATTTTATAATGAAGGTCGGGAAGTAAACATTGTGTACAAAGTCCTCGATTTATTTATTACTCTGCGACTGATGATGATATATCGACGTCGGCTACTGTGTTCATCGTCACTTACCCTACCCTTATCACGGAGCGTGTAATTTCGGATTCATTGCCCTCGGCTGAGTTACGCCACCCGCGTCGCCTATTTCATTAAGCGTACGTTTTATACATTCTTAGAATTTAAAAAAAAGTCTTATTGTCTTTTACAGGTACATATTGGTGATGAGAGGATGAGCCATGGAATCACGCAGCGCGCCGCCGAGCCCCGAGGATCCCGGGGAGGCGGTGTTCGACACTCGATGCGGTCGATACCCGCACCAGCCATCCCTGCAAAGAAACTTCGCCAGCTGTCGCGAAACGACGCGTCCACGTCCCCTCCATCGCCATGCTGCATCTGAACCTGCACGGCCTGATGATCACGTCCTAACTACTGCCGAGGTTCACGACTATCCCTCTTCTGAATCAGGCATAGCGGCAGACTGCCCTCATCCACACACGAGTAACGCAGAAGACAGTCCTTCATACGACAGATCAGATTACGAAGGGAACTGTAACTATACTCTCAGGCGTACACCTGATTATCATCATACACTCGACTGTAAACATAGGACCCTAGATTATAATCGAAGTCGAACTCCTGATTACAGTCATGGACATATTAACGATTTTGACCGGGGTCATAGTAAAACACAACAGCCTCGTCGAACGCATAGGAAGCACAGACGAGAAGAAGACGACGGTGCTCATTCTTTGGATGAACGATGCGCACGCGACCTTGACGAAATCTTACCGGCCAGACTTGCAGCAGTTAACTTGTCAAGAGAACCGCCACCGCAGACGTGGGATCGCAGCAACATCACCGCTACTATGGAGCGATTTGAGCCGATTGATTATTCATATGCTTACTACGACCACCATTTATCGATGCCGTCGTCTTCAAGAAAAGCAAATCGACAACGAGGACGTGGTGCAGTTCCACGGGAGCGAACCTCTCGTCACAATTATGTCACAAGATATGGAACGGAAGAAAATATCTACGAAGAAATTACTGATGGTACGAGAACTTGCCCAAAACATCGCTACGTTCCTAGGCAGTCGCTAGTATCGCTGGACAGAAGCGTGGTTGAAGAAGAGGTCCGCCGCGTAGAGTCAAGGCATAAGCGAATTTTAGGCGAACTGAATCTAAGTGTCGAAGCCATGCTGATGCCTGAGTGTGAATCGCCTGACTCAGAACGTGCAGAAGATAGAGACAATATTGAAGAATTACTAAGAGTGGGCCCAACGGATGAGCTACTATCACCGGCCAGTTGTAATCCTCCGGATTTAGATAGCGGTTTTAGTGGGAGTAGTAGCGGTGCAAGCTATGTGGGCAGCCTTCGTCGTAAGCCAACAGGCTCGGTACCGCATTTACCTGCTGTGGCATACGGGACACGCACTGCAGGTGTGAAGATACTGAGTGCCGAAGAATGTGGTGTACGATTTCCAAGGGATTCGCAATCTCCTAGGAGCTCAAGTTGTGGGGATGCAAAAGCCAGTGGATTTTGGAATAAAAAATCCTGGAAGAAAATATCTGGGTTCTCCAGCTCGAATAGCATTAACAAAGCAGGCCTCACGGGTGAGTTATTGCATGGAGACTTCATGATTGAATTTATTACGCTAATGCAGCATTTCAAAATACAGCTATTGTTGCATTAAACCACAAATAAACATTAGGGCAAAACGTATTAAAAATTGCATAAAGGTTAACTTTTTACTTTCACAAACACAAAAAAAAAAACATTCATATTCTCGAAATTACGCCATTTAGACTGTGTCATCTCTCACACTGTTCGCAAAATATATTTTCCGTACAAAATAGCGTTCCATTCTCACATAAAACGTGAATGAATCCGAGCGGTATCAAGTCATGAAAACCCTGAGAGCATAATTTCTTTTTTTCTTTTTTTTCGCCCGCTTTCGACTGGCCATAGGCATTTTTCAGATGGACGCGCGCGTGGTTCGATGTTTGTTGTTTTCATTTTGGTTTGTTTATTTGTTTTTGTTAACGGTGGCGCGTTTTGCATTGCAGGTCTGCTCGTTAGGTACACTTTCCGGCGTAAGTCCGGCTCGCAGGGCTCACAGGGCAGGCGGCGGACCGAGCCCGTCAAATGCGATGCGTGCCTCTCACAACGATGTTAGCCGCACTATCGGTAAGGGTTTCACGCTGGTCTCTCAGCAGAAAGTTCGAAAACGAAAAACATACATCAGTTCGTTTAAATTTTTTTTTATTTACTGTATTATTTTATTCCGATAGTGAAATCGACACTGAGCGCGTCCATTCACAAATTTCCGTTTCACTTTTATTTATTTTTGTTCATTATATTACTTTGCGGAAAGATCGCAGGAATATAGGCGGAAAATACAAGTTTCTGCGGTCAGAAACGATTAACAAAGTCGATACGAAGTTCTCTCATTAAGGTATCGCAGATATTACTTCTAACTTCTACTTATTGTTCTCCAAGAACCGAGACAATAGCGTAGAATATTACTTAATTAAGCCATAACTGTAGGGTACAAACTATATGAATATAGTTTTCGAAAATTACTTTCACAACAAAATTGTCTTGGTTGCAGATGAAGCGTGTAGGCCAAGCAGACCTAAATCCAGAACAGCCACTATCCCGTACAGGTTAATAACTTCTTATTACTTACAACAAACATTAATCTCCGCGAATTGTATAACAACTTTCATAAAACCTAACGAACGCTCGACGAAATACTGGCACGCGGAAAATTCTTTTCGTTTCAAACTTTTCCTTTGTTCCAGCTACTCCAACGGAAAACTGGTGGTGCCGCTGGATTCCGTAGCACAGAGCTGAGGGGACTGTCCCCCTCGTCATTCCGTTATCGAACTCCTCAGAGGTTCTCCTCGACACGAAGGTCCATCAGTAAATAGTGAGCCTTCACTGTGAACAGCGCGTATCGGACTATGGAATTTAAAATAAAAAATTATAAAGTACCAACATTCCAATATTACATTTATAAATAGGCAACGGCGAGTCTGAAAGACAAACTGTCGGATTGATGAATGTATTGTGTGTCGTGTATATTATATAGCCAGTAAAACTTTTAACATGCAATGAGTGTATACGTCGAAGTGATAGAAAAGCCTAATAATTTTGTTACGAACGATCGTTTCATAGAAACGTAAAGAATACGTTGTTATAACTTATCAATTTTTAGTAGAATAGTGTTCGAGAAGGCTGACAGTCGATCGGGTTTTGTAAATTATAAAACGGAAACTGCCATTTTAGAAANATTATATAGCCAGTAAAACTTTTAACATGCAATGAGTGTATACGTCGAAGTGATAGAAAAGCCTAATAATTTTGTTACGAACGATCGTTTCATAGAAACGTAAAGAATACGTTGTTATAACTTATCAATTTTTAGTAGAATAGTGTTCGAGAAGGCTGACAGTCGATCGGGTTTTGTAAATTATAAAACGGAAACTGCCATTTTAGAAATTTTTTGTTACTTTAATGAATACATATTTAAAAATTGTCTACACAAAGCCAAATTATTGTAAGAAATTAAATTCTTATAACAGCGGTGCTTTCGATAATCAAACAAGTTCACGCCTAATTTCTTATTTGTGTATTAGATTGTCTAAAGTAATAATACAACCTATTTATCTCTTTGATGTCGTTGTTAAATACTTTTTAGGTTAATTGTATATGGTGTAAATAATCTTTTCAAAAAAAAAAAAAACGGTGCACATTTACATGGTTATTTATGTAAATATTTAAAAAAAAATCACTTAGCGAGTGTTCGAATTTTTTTAAATAAATAAATCGTAGTTTTTATGAAACATCTCAGTTCGCAAGCTCACCGGATGATTCGTTTTTTTTACAACAACGCAACTAACTTTATATATATATGGAACTGTCATATGGTAATGAATTCTAAAAGCTTTGAATTTCTCTTGCAAAACATAAATCCTTGACGTAATCAAATCGACAAGTTCAGCATTCAGTGTATTCATTCATCAATCATTTCAAGCAAATGTAAAGGCAAAATGAAATTGTAAATAAGTAGTTTTAATGTAAATTGTTTTTGTAAAATCGGTCAATAGTGAGGTCTTGTAACTAATCGTTGTAAGCTGGACTGGTTGTAATCTCAATGTTATTATTAATAATTTTCTTTGATTGTCTGTATTTTAGTGAACGTGTTCAAGTCAAAAGAGATTTTTATTAAATAAATGATAAAAAGTCATTGTATTTTATTTACATCTGATTTTCCAGGAGTCTGTGTACTAAGCTGTTTTGAATTAGGGTTTTTTTTCATCGTGAGAGAAGAAAGTGTTCAAAGCCATCATTTAGCAGTTGTATTATTTTTAAACCCAAACGCCTGATTGCTTTGGTGCCGAAATAAGTAGGATAGTAAGAAAACATATTTTTTTCCCTACCTATTCGCTCGTAGCCTAAGCGGCTATCTGAGTGAATTTGCTAACACTAACCCTAGCAAGAGCAGTGCTTCGCAGAGTCTACCACCGGATCAGAATCGCGACCCACTGCGAAGATCCAGCGAGAAACTTAGTGGACTGTAATAGTCATTCATACTTACGGAGTACCGTACCGTATAGGGAGTACCTAGCAACAGTGATTACGCAAACATATGTTTTGTGTTGTATTTTTGTTTTGTTTTTCATAAGTCTCATGGACTGGTCCGCTCATTTGATAGTGAGATGTCGTCACCAATGAACAATAGCTATGCCAGAGGCAATAGAGCCCAATGGCTGCCGATCGGTATCGTTCTCGTCGAACTCGTCGCTTGTGACGAAGTGCTTGGCGAGTAAATTAACCCACAGACACAGCCCACTGAGTTTCTCGCCGGATCTTCTCAGTGGATCGCGTTTCCGATCCGGTAGTAGATTCTGCGAAGCACGGCTCTAGCTAGGGTTCGTGTTAGCAACAACGTCAGGTTTGAACCCCGTGTGCTCACCTACTAGCCCGGTGACGCTGACATGTTCTCTCTAGAGACTCTAGACCATCAGCTTAGGTAGGAAAAAAAGGACTTCCGACTAGGAAATGAATATTTTCAAACATCGTTTCAATAAGTACGTGTCACACCACTCAAGATACACAAAGGAGGGGAGAAAGTTCTAGAGTTGGTTTCTAGATATGGCAAAAATGATATCGGAAACGCACTATTGATGAACACAGGGTTTCCCGGTTATTGGGAACGACTATGGGAACAGTGCATGTCGTGTATAAAAAAAGAAGGCAATATAATAATAATAACATTATAATAAACAATGTTTAATACGCTACATTATACAGTTCATTAATTATACGTCCTATAAACCTTAAGACGGTAACGCCTTGATAATTCACCGTTAATGTAACTAAATTGGTTATTGTTATTTGGAATAATATTGACTAAAATTATTTATCACAAGCTTAGCCTTACTCCGTAATTAATAACATATTTAGTTCAAAAACTAAAATAACACGCCTAAGTAGGAAACCGAACTAACAATCGATTTCACTTTTTTTATCCCGCTGATACCGGTCCGGATATTAGAGCGAAGTTAAACCTTACTCATGAAACTCGGCAAAGAGCTTGACCCATACTGCGGCACGACATGAGAATCCTCTCATCGTGGCCACCGGAAACTACATAGCCAATCCTGCGGACCAAATGGTTGAACAGTCGACGTCGCCCAAAACACGTCATTTCGGATCCTCCCGAACTACTAACGGTGCCTTTGGGTACCCCAAGCACTGGGTATCGTTCTCGTCGAACCCGTCGCTTGCGTCGAAGGTCTCGGCGAGTAAATTAGCCAACAGATACAGCCCACTGAGTTTCTCATCGGATCTTCTCAGCGGGTCGCCATTCCGATCCTGTAGTAAATTCATTCGCGAATCAGCTGCCCTTGTGTTCTCAAGTCTCCTTCGGAGTTGCTCGTGCAGCTGTTATCAAACCCCCACTCTCCTGGCTGAGCCTTGGCTCGCCTACCTGTCTTGATGAAATAGGGAAAGTCGCCGGGCCACCCGTAATCCTTCATTCAAAAAAAACGAAGTAATAAAAGCATTGCGTAGTCATGGGTTCTTCATACGTATGCCAGTTATTTAAGTTAATCGGACGTCTTGAAGTCGTTTTAAATTACCTTCAAAGATTTCATTACATATACCATATATGTAGTTATATAATATGTATATACATACCTACTAAACTAATAAACGGGTGTTGAAAAAGGATACTCCGAAGCATTTCTGAATTATGTATATACTAAAAACACGACCTAATTTACTTAGCTAACCAGCTGAGAGACTTCCTCGTTTTGAATAGAATCGCAGTGTTTATTCGAGTCTAAAAGCTTTCATCTTTATGCCTATGAACAAACCCTAAAATTTACCACAATACGCCTTCAACGAGTATAATATTTCGCTCGACGCAGCAGGGAAGCCCTTTTGTTCGCCTCGACGGGTTAATTGTTTAATTGCTAATAAAAATAAAAAGCAGAGCTTTTATGTTGTTGGATGTTTTAAGAAACAGCTGCTCGTAATGTTGAGAAGAATTCTGATCACAAAATTTATATCGGGTCACATTCATATCATTGCAATAAAACTAAAAAATATTTTATATTTTATTTTGTATTGATCATTTTTTGCATAGACGGTACAGAAGCGGATTTAATGCATTCAATTGCAAGTCATTCTCTAAGGTGGTTTAGAATCCTATGGTAGAAAATAAAAAATATGCAAAATTAAGAAAACAAAAAATTAAAAATACACTATAGATGCGTCAAATTCAAATCACACAAAATATTTTCGTCAATCTAAAAGCCTAGTGACAGAAAACAAACTTTTACTAATTCAAAGTTGTGCTAGGCAACCATGACAAAAGAATCAAAAGAAACCGTAAAAAAACCTTTAATACCCGGTGATTTGGATTTATTAGAAACGCGTATCTCCGGAACTCACAAAGGGAATTCGTCCAATCAAAAAAGACCTTTATTAATCTGTTATTGAATTCCCAGATGGTAGGTTTCTGAGTCGTCCAATTAATATCAATATTGCGTGCAGGGATTTGTGCTAGATATCCAGATGTCTCGCATTAGATTCTCAGGCTTATACAGCTATGATAGATTATCCTATGACACATTACGGGATAGAGGAGCTGAATAGAAATTGCAGGTGACGAATTCGCAATTCAATCATTGGTGTACAGTAACAGTGATAGGTACTTATTTGCGATCGTTCCCGAGACTCGATCAAGAGAGAATTCCGCATCGGCCACTGACCTTTTCAATTACAAAAGTACGTACGATGTTTTTAAAACCAATTCACGAATACCATAAATCGCGAACAATTTAGTAGTTACGTTTCAGAATATCAAATTTCATGGTCACTGTAAATCGATGGTTTCAGACTGATTTTTTGTTTGTATTTCATTGACTTTGGAGAGTTTCATGGCTAATCATTATAAGAATTCACAGATATCACAATGTAAATGCATACAGTACAATGACATTTTTCCTTTCCTTTTTTCCCTAAAAATGGGAACGCCTTGAGAATTTCGTGACAAAAACGGGCACGACCTTTTTTTTGTTTTTTTACTACCTATGCTGATGACCTTGAGAGGCTATATCAGCTCCGCCTTAACGTGTAGGTGAGAAGATCCGGCGAGAAACTCAGTGGGCTTTGTCTATGGGTTAATTCCTCGACGAGCCCTTCGTCGCAAGTGACAGGTTCGACGAGCCCTTCGTCGCAAGTGACGGGTTCGACGAGGACGGTGACCGGTGCTTGTGGTACCTAAAAACACCGTTAATGGATCGGGAGAATCCGTAATGACGTGTTTTGGGCGATGTCCACTGTTTACCGTTCGGTCCTCTACATAATAGGGTATGTAATTTCCAGCGGCCACGACAAGAGGGTTTTCATGTCATGCCGCCTTCTCAAAGTGACGCAATGATGCCGACTGTAGATACTTACTGACTGACGGGCACGGCCTACCCGTTTGAGTTTACACACGCTCCACCATCAGTAAAAATGATCTCTGTTTCTCAAACTGTGATAACACGAATTTATAATCAGAATTCAAACGACACTTTCAGAGTTGCAAACCGCTTGCAACTAGCGTGGATGTTATAGATGCGTTTGATTTGTTTCACGACTTCATTATCAGCCACCTGCATGACATTAATGTTTACTTTATTTTAAAACGATATTTTCGTGATCAAATAAATAACATTGAGTCTTAAACCGTAAAACAAAATTAACACAAAGTAAAGATAACTGTG